CCGCCGGAGCTCCGTAGTATGGCATCGAGGAGAATGGAGACCAAACCTGTGATAACCTGTCTCAAAACCCTCCTCATCATCTACTCCTTCGTCTTCTGGGTGAGTGGCCAAGCTTGGCTGGTGGTCGGGCCGCCGTCGGTCAGTCCGTACAGTGATGCCCCAAGAAAAGAAGGGGGAGGAAAAAACCCAAACCAAAAATCAAATCTCGGCCCCCTCCTTAAGCAGACAGGTGCAGGCTGCTGGGCCAGGGCTGCAGGATGGGGGCGGGGGGTGCAGGCTTGGGGCTGCTCGGACCTTGGACCCCGCCTGGCGCAGGCTGCAAGGGGCTGCGTGGTGGCGGTGACTGCAGGTTGTCGACCTTTCCAATTTTTTTTTTTTAATGCATTGATTTATTTTTTAAGCTCTCTAGATAGGGTCAGCCTCTAAGGAAAGTTGCCGGTATATTCGTCTATTTTCCTCTCTGAACACCCCTCCCCAACCGCCTTTACCAGTCTGTTCACGATGCTACTTGGAGCAAACCTGTGGCCAGCTGGGAGCGGGTGCCTGAGCTCATGATTTGATCCCAGATTCCCGGTTATTTCCGACCCCGCGGGACCGTGAGAGGGAGGTACCAGGAGCCTAGTGCCTGCCTGGCAGGGCAAGGGAGACCAGAGCCCCGCGAGAGCAATGACAGGGGGTGGGCGCCACTGCCGCGTGAAGACGCACGGAAGGGACAGGGTCTTATATAAATTAGGGGCATGTTTGAGCTTTCTTGGAGACCCTGGAGATGGATCTTACTACCCTTTCCCCACTCTCCTTCACCCTTACATTCTTCATCTGGTCTTTCTGTCATTGCTCGAGCTCAATTCTCAGAGCCCTGGAGGAGAACTCACCGCTACTTGGTGACAGCAATAGCGCCCCAACTCTACTCCCTATCTAACTAGTGCTCTACCGGTCCTTGAAGCTCAATGCAGAAGGGTGACGTCAGCCCTTCAGCCAGAGGCCTCGGGGGGCTGCGTGGTGCACCTCGCGCAGGGATGCGCCTTTCTGCGTGCGTGGGGGTGGGGGAGGGGGCTCAAGGCTTGTGCCTTACCTCATCCTGTTTGGCAATTCGTGGAATCAGTGCGGGATTAACACTGCAGTGATTCACTTGTAGGGGTGGGTGGTACCTAAAGAACATTCCCTGTTATTTCTCTTTCCATGTAAGAGCCTCCCTCTCCCCAAGTTCCCCATTCCCACAGCAAGCCACAGCCACCCTGCAGGAGAATGAATGTATCATTTTGGGTCATTTCAGCTTACAAGGCAGTCATTTTGTAACCTGAGGCTCTGTAGAAAAAGCCAGTCCTGCCTTTGGTTATTTTTCTCCTTGCCACCCCCCCGCAAAAAAAAGATTAGCTCTAATTTTAGTTTGAAACTGGACACAGTGCTCTATGAGGTACCCAGACTCGGCTTGATGGTTAACCATGCTGTTTGTAATGATCAAGGGAGGAGCTGAAATTTATTAAGCATAAAAAGAAATCCCTAATGCTTCCCCCCACTTCCGCGGGCATTTTCTTGTCACTGGCATTGGTGATTCTTCAGGTCAGGGAAACTGTGGACTCTGGGGACCAGGCATACCAAGAGCTCTGTAATGAGATAGGGTAGATTAGCTGGTATATCATACAAGGCAAACGCAAAAACGCACTTTATTTGGACCGAAAACAACACAGGTTGAAATTTTTCAGTAGTGGAATTATGAGATATGTATGGATTATATCTTAGATTTTGCCTGAAAAAAGCGATAATGCATACTGCTTGCTGAAAGTTTCCAGTAGCCATTCCTGGGAACTGGTTTAGGTTTTTGTTCATTTCCTTAAATCTCTCTGTGTTTGGCCCTTTAGTATTCGACTTCCTTTTTGTTTCCAGAGTTAATTATATGGACGATTATTTTTAGCTTCCTGAAAAATAAGGTTTATAGTATATACAAAGGAGTGTTCTTTCAGCATCACTGCAGGCTGGTAAAAGAAGGAATCTTCTAGACTGAGGATTTTCCTATGAGCTCTTCTTGCTTACCTCCCTCCCCCCCATCCCCACTCCCCATCCCGCCCCTCCCCGTGAATCTAAATTAATTAATGACCCCTAATGCATCTTAAATAAGCATTGCATTTTATGTCCTCTGAAGTTCCTTGATGCCTGCATTTAAAATATTTCCTACTTTCAGTGTTTTTATAGTCTTAAATGTTTACCTCCTGGAGCACTTTCAATAGTTTAAAGAGCATTCAATAATCATTTTCTACTTCACAGCCAAAAGAATAGGATCTCTCCAGATGCAAGGGTATTTTAAATAGGACATTTTTGTTAATAAACTGTGGTCCAAATGCCGTGTTTTGCATTGTACTTTAAGTGCTTTTTTTTTTTTTTTTAAATCAGCCGTATGGAGATATAATTCATCCTTTTTAAAGTGTACGATTCACTGGTTTTTAGTATATTCACAGATATGTATAACCATCACACCAGTCAATTTTAGAACATGTTCATTATCTAAAAAAGAAACCCCATACCCTTTAGTTATCATCCTCCCTTTCCCCCCAATTTCTACCTCTCCTTGCCCTAAGCAATCACTAATCTACTCTCTATATAGATTTTCCTATTCTGGGCATTTCGTATAAGTGAAATCATATAGTATGCAGTCTTTTGTGAATGGATTCTTTCACTTTGCATGATATTTTCAAGATTCATCCATGTTCATTCTTTTTTACGACCAAATAATATTCCATTGAATGACTATCACCTTTTGATCATTCATATGTCCACTGATTAACATTTGGGTTGTTTCTACCTTTTGGCTGTTATGAATAATGGTGCTGTGAATATGTCTTCAATTCTCTTTGCTGGGAATTGCTGGGTCATATGTTAATTCTACGTTTAATCATTTGAAGAACTGCCAGACTGTTTTCCAAAGTGACTGTGCCATTTTACATTCCCTCCAGCAGTGTATGAGGATTTTGATTTCTCCAAATCCTTGCCAATATTTGTTATCTGACTTTTTGATTCTAGCCATCCTGGGAGGTATCTCATTGTGGTTTTTGATTTGCATTTCCCTGATGAGTAATAATGTCAAACATCTTTTTATGTGCTTATTGGGTATTTGTATATCTTCTTTGAAGAAATATCTGTTCATATCCTTTGCCCATTTTTAAATTTGAGTTTTTATTATTGAGTTATGTGTCTCATATTTATATATTATTCTTGATTCAAGTCTCTTATCAGATGTATCATTTGCAAATATTTTCTCCTATTCCATGGGTTATCTTTTCACTTTCTTGATGGTGTCCTTTGAAGTACAAAAGTTTTTTTTATAAAGTCCAATTTACCTATTTTTCTTTTGCTATTTGTGGTTTTGGTGACATATCTGGAATTCCTTTGCCAAAAGCAAGATCATGAAGAAAATGCTTTTTATATGAGTGATTTATCAATTCAGCAAATGCAGTAGATGCATTTATCTTTCTCTAGCACCTAGAGCTATATCTGGCACATAGTAGATATTCAAATATCTGTCAAAACTTCTGGGGTTATATTAAGTAATTAAACAAAAAAGATGACCTTGGTGTCATTTTAAGGGAAAGATGAAAACTGTTACGCAGAATTATTTCCTTTGTGTTCTTTGCGAATCGTTTTAATAGGACTACTTCTTTTCTCTTACCACAGTCTAGATTTAAGACTAGAAGATATTTGAGTTTAAAATTATGGTAGACCAGTAGCATTAAGAGGTTGATGTATCTGAGTATATACTAAAGCAGAAGTCTACAGTTATGAGAGATCTTTGTCTTTTCTAGTGTTCTCTTCTGTCTACAATCTCTCTCTTTGAGGTATTCCTCTAAAGCAGTGGTTCTCAACAGTGGACAATTTTGCCCCCCTCCCAACATCGGGCACTACCTGGAGACATTTTTGGTTACAGCTGGGAGTGGGGTGCTATTGGCACCTAGTAAGTAGAGACCACAGATGCTGCTAAACATCCTTTAATGCATAGGATAGCCCTTCACAACAAAAAATTATCTGTCTCAAAATGTCAACAGTGTCTGCAACCTCTGTACAATTGGACTTTACATAGTAAGTCCTATGAATTAAAATAGAGTCTTATGCAAAACTCACTATATTTACTGGTGTTTGGAGCCACCATACCAGACCATGCTAAATACGGTCACAAGTAAGAAGAAAAACATGGTGTACCATAATTCTTTATTTGAAGACAAAAGGTAGGTAGTTTTTATATAGTAGTGTTTAAATGGATAAGATGATTTGTCTTACAGTTAAATAACATTACCATGTAAATGGATCCTTCATTTTTCTTGATTTATATGTTTCGTTTTCAGGTTTCTAGAAGAGGAGGAAAAAACACACCTAGGAGTAAGTTACTCTGTGCTTTAAAGACTAGCAAACAGTGCCTGGCACATGGAGATTTACTCAGGAAGTTTTTATTTAATGAATGAATGAATAAATGAAATTTTATTGACTAATCTTGGGCTCCTTTATTTATTTCTACTCACCTCAGTTGGGTGGCTTTTTAAAACAATGTTATTTCCAGTTTATCTGTGGTGATTTAAATGTGTTCCTGACATTGATGTATGGAAACATGGGATATAAAGACTTGCTTATTCTAATGATAGTTCAATTATTATATTTTTTATGATCAGTTTGCCATTTTAGTTATCTAAAATTTTAATTGGAATTTAATTTGTTAAGCTTGAATAAAAAAGATATGTCTCATCCTAATACAAAACAAAACATTCCTCCTTTGCAACAAATACGTTTTTCAACAACAAACAGTAAAGCTTTGTACATATGCTGCTTACAAGGTAAATTCTGTTTTGATTTATAAGTTTTTAAATGTATTTTAAACACTCATCTGAGTTCTAAGCTAAAATTTAA